GGTGTGGGTGTGTGGTATGGTAGTTGCTGGTAAGTTTTGCAGTTAGTCCGCAGCTGGTGAGAGCACCTATCCCTTCAGGGAGAGTGGTGAAAGTTATTGTAAAGTTTAAGCAGGAAAAAAGCCTAAGGGTGAAACCCTTTACTGCTTCCTCGGTATCTTCTGATAGTTGGGTCTCCTGGAGAAGAACAGATCATCTTGTGACAATGGTAAATGTGCCAGTTCTTTGTGCATTAGCTGAAGTAGGGGAGCTGGCAAATTCTTTTTGTACGCTAGGCTTCTGTGCTCAAATTTTTCAGAGAGCCTTTCTGTGCTGTATCAAATATATTAGAAAACATAGCCCAGAGGCTTTCTAATAAAAATTCTGTATAGTCGTCTAAAAAGTAAATTAAAATACATAAAAAATATTTAATTTACAGAAATACATAATTTATATAAAATATATAACATTTAAATACACATTCTAATAAAATTCTTCTCAGAATTACACCTTAATTCTGAAGAATGCTTGAGTTCGAGGGGGGTGTGTGTGTGACAGGAGTCAAAAGAACAACCCTCCCACCTCAAAACCCCAAATCTGCAAGGCTATTGGTGGAATTAAAACTTTGAGCAAAAAGATAAAATTTTCTCAAAATGATTACTTCTGTGGGCTTTCTGCTCTTTTTGTCAACCTAGGCTGTAGCTACAGCTGGGCGAGGAGAGGGGTGATAAGAGGGCAATACCTTAAAATGGTGTGAGATTCATACCTTTTGTCCACTGTCTTTAGAAGAGGTGGAAGAGACATGGTAACAGATCTGCTACATCTACCTAACGGTTCTGCCTGTTTTCACTGGATGGTGCTAGACCTATTTATTTGTGTCTTCCCTGGCCAGACTTTCATGCTCTGGATGGGGCAGTTGCATCATATTGCGAAATAGGGATTTTTCGTTGGGAAATCTATAGCTATAACACTGCTTACTGTGAAGTTATTGTTAGAAGATAGCTAGCTGGTAGGGGCCAAATCTGCTCCTTGAGGGCAAGTGGAATGTGAAATGGTTCTCCCCCCCCCCCCAAAAGGAATCATAGCGGGAAACTTTGAAGAGTTACACAACAAGTTTCAGCTAGAGGAATTTACAAAGCGTAAGTAGAATCACCCAAGGGCAGGAAAGGTAAGCTGTGCTGGAAATACTTCATTATGTTGAAAAGTCCTGAGCAGGCAGATAAAGCCTCCAAGGATTTTTTTTTTTTTTTCCCTTCTTCTTTTTCATATTACTGAATTAAAAAAAAAATACATGGTTTGTGCTTGCTGCTCTCCAATCTTGGAAGAGCGAGTGGCCAGGCAACTCAGGGGGTTCAGAGTCTGAGGCCTCAAGAAGTCGAACCTGGGGCTGCTGGAGTCAGGAAAGATGCTCCAGAGAATGTGCCTGAGAACAGGTTAGGGCAATGCTGGATGCTGTTTTTAGCTGGGACCTAATGTGCACATGGCTATGTGATTTCAAATCCATCACAACAATATGTATTTCCAAACGTAAATATTATAATAGGAGCAAGTAGGAGCAGCATGTTAGGATTTGGAACATGTGTAAAAACACTGACTGTTAAGCTGTAAATTGTAGAACCATAAGACTTAATAGGTCTCACATGAACT